CTAACGCGCCTGCTCCCAGCCTGCAGCAGGGGAAGATGTTCTTCCTCATCGGCCTCACCATGGCCGCCATCCAGGGTGCCTATGCCCGGCGGATCCGCCCCGGCGGGGAAGTTGCTGCCGTGAAGCGGGTAGGGGCTTCCTCCGAAGCGGGTGGCAGGCAGTCCCCTGAGCCCTGTGGGGCACGGGCTGTGCTGAGGCTGCCGTGCCCACCTGCAGGCCCTCCTACTGCTGGTGCCTGCCTTCCTCCTCATCGGCTGGAGCCATTCTCTGCCCATGCTGGGCCTGGGGCTGCTGCTGTACTCCTTTGGTGAGTGGCCCTGCCCTGGCAGGGGATCCGATGGGCAGCAGGGGCTGGGTGATGCGCCCTCCCCTGGGCTGATGGGAGCCTCCTCAATGTCCCCCACCAGCCGCCGCCGTTGTGGTGCCCTGCCTGTCCTCCGTGGTCGCTGGCTATGGTAAGACCCTTCCCTCAGCCAAAGCCACCTGAGCCAGAGAAGGGCAGTGGCCCCTGACTACGCCTCTCCCCACAGGCTCACCAGGGCAGAAGGGCACGGTCATGGGTACACTGCGCAGCCTAGGCGCTCTGGCCAGGGCCGCGGGGCCCCTGGTGGCTGCTTCAGGTGAGGGCGCGGGATAGTGCTGGGGCAGGCTGGGGGCCGGGCACCTGCTCTCACCTCCCCAGTGCCAGCCCCCTCGGAGCCTGGGTGACGCTGCCATCTCTCCGCAGTGTACTGGCTGGCTGGGGCCCAGGCCTGCTTCACCACGTGGTCCGGGCTCTTTTTGCTCCCCTTCCTCCTCCTGCAGAAGCTGAATTATTCGGCACAGACGCTCAAGGCTGAGTAGCTGAGCCACTGTGCCCAGGCTGTGGGCACCAGGCAGAGTGGGAGCCTGGGTCAGAGCCCTGCCCACTGCCTGACCCCCCTCCTTCCCAGTCCAGGGAGACCCTGTGGGTGGGAGCCGGCTCCCCAGCAGGAAGCCCAGGCAGCTCCTCCAGACTCATTCCTATGAATGACTCCAGGCGGCAGCACTCCAAGGCTGTCACGGTTTCTGTTTGTTTTCTAAACTATGCACCAGGTTTCTGATGATGAAATAAAGCACCTGTTTTATACCAAATGCCTTTCTCCATACGTAGCCGGGCCTCTACCCACACCAGGAGAGGCAGCTAGAGCTGAATGAATGGTTCCACTGACCAGAAGGGTCTGAGGCTCTTCGAGACCCTCAGTTTCCCCCTCTGCAGTGGCAGCCTGGGGACTCAGGCCCCTCCAAGGCTGGGGTCAGCCCTGGCCAGGTGGTATGTGGCAGTGTGCCCGGCACCCTGGCAGGGTATCTCCCGCACAGAGCCCTCCCCATCAGACATGAGCACACAGTGACGGTGAGACTGGGACCGTGGGGACAAGGACAGGCCAGCAGCTCCCTGGACACCCTGAGTTCCCGTGGGGAGGGACAACAGGAGTGCCGGGTGGAACGTCCTCCCGCACCCATGGCTGCAGATGACGTTTTATCAAGACATGAACATTTGGAGGTCTCCTTTCGGCACACAGACAGACTTGGGAACAAAAAAATTAAAATATAAAACTGCTTCCCAGATTTAGACAAAGAAATTGCTGAAAGAATTTTATTTGTGAGTAAAACATGTTACACTGGAGAAAGGACATTCAGGACCTGTCCTCCCAAGTCGGTGTCCATATATGCAACTATATTTCATGTTGTAATACAAAGGATTAAACTACAAAAGTGAAAATTAAGTCATTGCATATGTGGGGTAAAGGAAGGGATAAAAGAGGATAAAGGAAGAGTCCACGGTTAAGGACTTTTCATTCTGCCTTGGCAACAAAACGACACAGAAGAGAGGCAGCACGCTTGCCCGCGTAGCAGGCCCTGCGGCTCAGAGGAAGCTCGAAGCGGCAGGCAGTGCCATGCAGCAGCCTGCTTCTCGCTCGGCCGGCCAATCAGTGGGATCCGAGGTGGCTCGGCCCATCATGCCCAGGGTCTGAGCCCACACCTGGCACCAGCTCTATCAGGGGCCTGTTGGGCCCACACAAGCTTGCCTGCACCTAGTCAGGCTGGTACGAGGCAGCTCCTGAAATGGGTCACCCTCCAGTTCCTGCTCAGCAGCTCTGAGCCCTTTTCCAGCCTCTTCCAGGGAAGTGAAAACAACAGTATTAGCCAAGGAGCGCCCGTCTCAGGCTCCCTCAGTGACGACCGTGTCGAGGGGCTCCGGGGGCTACTCTCCACCTCGAGTTACCTTTTATCACAACTAGGGCATCTTTCTGGCTGAGTTAACGGTGAGAACAGATCCCCTGAAACCTCCCCCAGGTAAGTGAAAAGTGCTCTACTATGGGGTCTGGAAAGAAGCAAAAAGCCTGTTCACGTTCACAGTCAAAAAATATAAGCTAAATTGTAAACCTACTCAAAGAAAATTCTAGAAAGGACTCTTCCCCTCCTGATACACCTTCCCTATGACAGGAATCCAGAGACCCAAGTGAAAAAACTGAGCTCCTGAATCTGGTTGTGGTCAAGGGATCATCGGTCAGACATGCATAGCATCGCGTTGGGTGCACACAGGCCCATCTGCCGCTGGCGTTTCCTGCCCAGCGTCTGGCCCAGACCTGCCTCTTCAAGGCCGCTGGTGGGCACACGAGTGTTTTCACGGGACCAAGGCTTTGTATATAGACTTAAGTGAGATCACTGAGCAGAGAGAATGCCACACGGAACCAGGAGTCTGAGTCCGTCACCTGAGACCTTAGGGTGGAGGGAAGCCGAGCAGAAACAGAATGTGCTGATTTCACAACAGGAAGGATGGCAGGAAAGGTCAAGGCTCAGGAGGGTGACACCTGCGGCCAAAGCTGCAGAAGCCTCCAGTACCTTCCAGCTAGGACCATGACTTAGTGCCTCTCCGCTGTGGGGAGAGCACGTCTCCCCCAGAAGCTGAGGCTGAGAGGACAAGAGGCGGGGGGTGGGGCTGCTGCGCACACACGGGGTCAGCCCAGGGCTACACAGGGCTGCTCACGTGCGGGGACCCCTAGCTAGTGGAGGGCTTGGCTTTTTGCATTCCATTACACAAGGACAGGGCACGGACGCAGTCGGGGACTCTGGCGGAGCCAGGGTCGCTCCGGACAGGACAGTGTTAGCGCGGGGCCTTCAGGAGTCACTCTTCTTCTTGCTCTTCTTCAGAAAGGACGGGGTACGGAACTTCTTCTTCTTTTTGGACGGGGACTTGCCTGGAGACCCATCGCTGCCAGGGTCCGCGGCGGCCCCCTCCTCGGCAGCTGAGGGGGCAGCCTCTTCAGCCACGGGGGCTGGGTCTGGGGCTGGCTCGGGGCTGGCCTCAGTAGGGGCCTCAGTGGGGCTTGGGGGTCTCTGGGCTTCCTCCTCCTTCTCTAACATAGGGAAGCCGAGTGCTTCTGAAGGCTCGTCAGGGGACAGATCGGGGAGAGTTGGCTTAAAGGTGGCGGCATCACTGTCATCTCCAGTAGCTGGCTCCGGCACAAGGTCTAGTGGGTGAGGTGAGAGACGGGGTTAAGGGTTCCTGCCCAGATCTCAAAGGGCAGCTTGAGATGGGGGCACCCCACACAGGAAACTGCCATTTCATTTTACTCTACGGATTTTTACCAAGGCAAGAAACTTAAAATATGGTCTACGCTACTCTACGGCTGGATGGAGCTAATATCACAAAACACAGACTTGGTCTCGGGGTAGCTTTTAGCTCCTTCTTGTGGGCAGTGTGGTGACACCACCAGACTCCGCCCCAGGCTTGGGTCCCCCCACCAGAAAGAGAGACTGCAGCACAAGCTGAGGACAGCTAAAGGAGCGACGTCCCGCTTTCATTATGTGAAGAGCAGTCTGCCCTGTCACCCTAAGGGCATGTATTCATAGTCGTGAAATTAAGTCTAGATGGGTCCACAACACCTGGTCTCCCCCAAAACAGCCAGTAGAAAATTGTGCGTAACTCCCACAGCACGTGTGATGTCAACATCCAAAAGAACAAAGCCGTTTAGGATGGAAGTTAATTAAAAGGAAAAAGACGGCCTTTAAGGCAAGGAGCGGGGGCAAAAACTCCCAACCAGCATCAGGAGTGGCCCTCTGTGAAGGAGCACGTCGGCCCTGAGGACACGGCCTGGGGGCGCCTTCCTTCCACACTTACCCGGGCACCCGCTTTGTCCATTCCATTCGTAAACAGCCTACAACATTACCAGCAACTGACAGGTTAGACACCACAAGCTGTTTAGTGTTTAAAAATCAAGCCACACATCAGGGCCAGGGGAGTCAGCTGAGTGGTTAGGAGCAGCACAGGAGGCCCAGGCCCCAAACCCTCAAGGCTTTACCTTTGGGAAGCTGGAAGCGCCCCCACCCCGCCAGCTGCCCCAGGCTAATTCCAGGCCAGGCTTCTTGAGGGCCGGGAGAGGGCTGTGGGCACACAGGCGCAGCTCCCTGTGAGGAGGTGGGGCCCGCTCTGCTGGGCACGGTGCGGCTGATGCTAGGACAGAGGCTGCCCCAGGGCACTCGCTCTGGAGAGCTGCCATCCTCTGAGCCAATATCACACTGGCTTTAAAAGGGTCCAATATCCACTCCTCTGCCCACCTTCCTAGGACCAGCTTCAGCAAAGCTCTAAGGCAATCCAACCCCACACAGCAGGTGGCAGAACCCCAGCCTGTCTGAACCGAGGCTGCACTTAACGTCTGGATTCAGTGTGGTAAAACCCTCCCACCAAGCAATCCAAAGAGACCCTCGAAGGCCGGAGGTAAGAACCTCTGAGGCCCAGAGTGCTCCAGTGGCACCTAGGTGGGCAGAGGCCCTGAGGGAGGCACCCGCTGCCGCTCAAGGCAGCACAGTGCTCAGGTGACTGAGCCACTTCCAGGAAGGCCTCCAAGGGACTGGGTACAAAGAAGAGGGGGCTTCTGTTTTTATTTTAAATAAACAGAAAACAAAACTTAATAAACAACAAAGAAGCAGGAGAATGAGGCGAAGCACAGGGCACCGGTGCAGAGCGGAGGCAGCGCGGTACTTACTAGGGTAACAGGTACTCTCTAGCGCATCCGTCTCCTGCTTGTGACGCAGCCACAGGAAGAAAAAAGCACAAGGAGAGAATCTATGCATTCAGTCACAGCCATCAGGTTACAGAAGAAGAAAGGCAGGGCCATGGGCTTCACGAGAGACACGGATGTACGAGACCGAGGGACAGACACCCGGGATCACACACCACAGACACACGGTGGCTGAGAGGCAGCCGGCGTGTGGCTCACACAGCGGAGAGCAACTCCGGAGGTGGCATCTGCATGACAACACGGCACAAGGAGTGGGCGAGCAATGGGCAACGCAGACACCAGCAACCACGGTGGGTTCTGACCCCCGAGGCCAGCCTTCCTACTTGGTCACAGCTCACATACAAATCTGTTTTGCCTGGAGTTACCCAGGACAGAACCAATATAGGAGAAAAGAAGTGTCACATCTTGGTGTTGATGCAAGCACACACTTCTCTGTTGGTGTTAACACAACTCCCGCCACATTCCGCCACAGCGCGCACGAGCCGTGCACCCTCCCACAGTGGCGGCCACTGCCACCCAGAGCTCACCTTCCTCCAGCTTGATGGGAGTGCTGGGAGGTGGGTGGGGGACCGCAGGCTGGTCTGGAGGACTCTTTTCTTTCTGTTCTCTAGCCTCGTCCAGATTCTCTGCAGAGAAACAACAAGGATATGGTAGGAGCTGTGGACGCCATGAGCCTGCACCTGCCTCCGTGGCAGATGGGGCAGCCTGCTCGGCCGCCCTCTGAGAAGGCAGGGCTCTCAACCCTTTCCCTGTTCCTCTCCGAGAGCGGATAAAGGAAGCTGTGACCCGGGTGTTGACTGATGTGAATTTCAGAGAAACATAAACAACTTCAGATACAAAATTCATTTCTATTCTTATTCCAAAGAGAATCTGCCAGAGCTGGCTCTGTGATGGACTCAAATGGTGTGCCCTGGCCTGTCCCCCGCTGTCCTGTGCGAGTAGGCGGCCCCTCCCTCCCAACCTTCTCCCTGCTAAGCAGGTGGCGGAGGGTCCTGAGCCCACTCACCACCTCAAGGGACATCCCATGAGCAATTATTTTGGTTTTAATTCTGTGGTAGGGCATTTTATCCCAATAATTTAAACTTGGCAACTGTAATGCATATTTTTATTTTATAAAGTGAAAAATGCTAATAAGAACCAGAGGAAAAAATGCAGGAACTAGCATCCTGGATATAGAAAAGGATTCCAAGTCTACGTCTCGTTTGAGGGAAAATATGGATCAACACACTACGCTAATTCCTTCCATGTCTGTCTGTATTTCAGAAGTTTAGATTAATAGCTTTGAATCAGCAGATCTGTATTTTGAACAAGCAGCTGTCATTACCCTTCGGGCTCCCAGGGCCTCTGCTCCCACCCTAACAGCTGGCTCACCTCCCCAAGTACCATGTTGGCAGCTACCTTCCAGAAGGCAGGCGCCCATAAAAAGGCCACCACACCACCTATCTGAGTGAGCATACAGCCTCAACCAGGAAAAGGTGCTGACCTCCGGCAGCCAGCCTGCATTTTACCTGTGGCACACACTCCCCTCAGCCCACGCCAAGGGCCAGATCAGACCTCCTGTGGGTTCTCCTGCTAACAGCTCTGTGATCACAGAGCATGGCCAGAGCCGTCCCCATCCACACTCAGCTGCCATCACAGCCCTGCTGAAGGAGCCTCACACCGGGGGGTGGGGGGAACTCCAGGTATCTTGTTTGACTGAAAAACAATCCAGGTTACTCAGATGCCAGGAGACCCCAAAGGGCAGACACATCTCTGTGTACCTGTGCACAGAAACTAGGATTAGGCCACATGACCCACAGCTCAAGTCGACTACCTCTACTTCCTGCTCTAAGGCAGGTAATTACAGCAATGGCTCAAAGCTTCACTGGAGGGAGACAACCAGCAGCAGGGCCCGGTGTGTGTGAAGGCCTGAACAGTAAATAGCGGTGTAACACTGAAAAACAATTCAGCAACTCAAATTTCAGTAACAACTACATAATGCAGTGGCTGGTCTAGAAGAAGACAAAAACCGGTTAAGAGGTTCTCTTAGGAGGAGTGCCTAGTTCCCAGGATGACTACAGCCCAGGAGGGCAACAGTCAGTCCCACACACCGAGGTCGCTCCAGCAAGGCCGACCCCAGAGGACTGAGAAGCACACTGAGGTTTCAGTAAAAACCTGAGTTGAAGCTAATGGCCCTGAGGATGCTGGCGGGGGCCCCGTGCCCCTGGTTCTTCCTGGTGCCAGCACCAAGGTTGCTTAGAGCCTACTGGACAAGAGAGCTGGCAGCAGGGAGCTTGGAGGAAAAGCAGCTGATCCCCACGAGCCCTCAAGGAAGAGGCATTGGAGACCTGCTTCTCTCATTAGTTCTCAACATTTTCTTTTCAAACCTGACATCTGAAACCACCTGCTCCATGAGGGTCTGAAACAAGCCGCTTATTTTTATTCATTGTAAGACTGCCCCATCTTTGACCGCCTTTGTCAGTGAGCTACCAAGAGAAGTGCAGGCTGCACCAGCCACTCCTGACGGGACCTGGGCACATGCCAGGGCAGTCAGCATGTTCACCCTCAGGCCTGTGACCACACCTGCACAGGAGACCCTCAAGGTTTATGGAGAAAGAGAATTTCTGTCAGAAACCCCAAGCCCTACACACAAGCACCGCAAGGACATTCAGAGCATCCCCCTGCACAGAGGCCGGGGCCGACTGCTGTGATCAAAGACTCAGTGAGGAAAGCAATGCGCTTTTGTCCAGATCAGGGCTCAGCCATGCACAGCCTCATTCTTGGGAGCCGCCCTGTCTGAGCCCCCTATTCCTCTGCTCTAACTGGGGGAAAATGACCAATCTCGCAGGGTTACTTTGGGAATGAGATGAGATGTACGCACGACAGCACTGGGCATGTGCCCAGCACGATGGCTCAGCAATGATGAGTGTTAAGAATCAAACCAAGTAAAGGAGGTCTCTCCCCAGTGACGCTTCAACAGACAGAAATACCGTGTTCGTAAAAGAGACAAACGTCGGGGTGACTGTCAACATGGCCAAAGGAACAGCTCCGGTCTGCAGCTCCCAGCGAGATCAACCCAGAAGGTAGGTGATTTCTGCACTACTAACTGAGGTACCTGGCTCATCTCACTGGGACTAGTTAGACCATGGGTGCAGCCCACGGAGGGCGAGCCGAAGCAGGGTAGGGTGTTGCTCACCCGGGAAGTGCAAGGAGTCAGGGAACTCCCTCCTGTAGCCAAGGGAAGCCGTGAGGGACTGTGCCTTGAGAAATGGTGCATTCCGGCTCAGAAACTATGCTTTTCCCACGGTCTTCACAATCCACAGACCAGGAAATTCCCTTGGCTGCCTATGCCACCAGGGTCCTGGGTTTCAAGCACAAAACTGGTCACCCATTTGGGCAGACGCTGAGCTAGCTGCAGGAGTTCTTTTTTAATACCCCAGTGGCGCCTGGAATGCCAGCAACACAGAACCCTTCACTCCCCTGGAAAGGGGGCTGAAGTCAGGGAGCCAAGTAGTCTTGCTCAGCAGATCCCACCCCCATGGAGCCCAGCAAGCTAAGATCCACTGTCTTGAAATTCTTGCTGCCAGCACAGCAGTCTGAAGTCCACTTGGGATGCTGGAGCTTGGTGGGGGGAGGGGCGTCCACCATTACTGAGGCTTGAGTAGGCCATTTTCCCCTCACAGTGTAAACAAAGCTGCCAGGAAATCTGAACTGGGCGGAGCCCACCGCAGCTCCTCAAAGCCACTATAGCCAGACTGATCTCTAGATTCCTCCTCTCTGGGCAGGCCAACTCTGAAAGAAAGGCTGCAGCCCCAGTCAGGGGCTTATAGATAAAACTCCCATCTCCCTGGGACAGAGCACCTGGGGGAAGGGGCAGCTGTGGACACAGCTTCAGCAGAGTTAAGTTACTGCCTGCTGGCTCTGAAGAGAACAGCGGATCTCCCAGCACAGTGCTCAAGCTCTGCTAAGGGAGAGACACTGCCTCCTCAGGAGACACCTCCCAGCAGGGGTCGACAGACAACACCTCATACAGGAGAGCTCCGGCTGGCATCTGGCAGGTGCCCCTCTGGGACGAAGCTTCCAGAAGAAGGGAGAGGCAGCAATCTTTGCTGTTCTGCAGCCTCTGCTGGTGATAGCCAGGCAAACAGGGTCTGGAGTGCACCTCCAGCAAACTCCAGCAGACCTGCAGCAGAAGGGACTGATAGAAGGAAAACTAACAGAAAGGAATAGCATCAACATCAACAAAAAGGACGTTCACACGAAAACGCCATCTGAAGGTCACCAACATCAAAGATCAAACGTAGATAAATCCACAAAGATGAGGAAAAACCAGCGCAAAAAGGCTGAAAATTTCAAAAACCAGAACGCCTCTTCTCCTCCAAAGGATCACAACTCCTCGCCAGCAAGGGAACAAAACTGGACAGAGAATGAGTTTGATGAATTGACGGAAGTAGGCTCCAGAAGGTGGGTAATAACAAACTTCTCCGAGCTAAAGGGGCTTGTTCTAACCCAATGCAAGGAAGCTAAGAACTTTGAAAAAAGGTTAGAGGAACTGCTAAGTAGAATAACACTTTAGAGAAGAACATAAATGACCTGACGGAGCTGAGAAACACAGCATGAGAACTTCATGAAGCATGCACAAGTAGTAATAGCTGAATAAATCAAGCAGAAGAAAGGATATCAGAGATTGAAGATCAACTTAATGAATAAAGTGTAAAGACAAGATTAAAGAAAAAACAATGAAAAGAAATGAACAAAGCCTCAAGAAATATAGGACTATGTGAAAAGACCAAAGCTACGTTTGATTGGTGTGCCTGAAAATGACAGGCAGAATGGAACCAAGTTGGAAAACACTCTTCAGGATATTATCCAGGAGAACTTCCCCAACCTAGCAAGATAGGCCAACATTCAAATTCAGGAAACAGGGAGACAACCACAAAGATACTCTTCAAGAAGAGCAACCCCAAGACACATAATCATCAGATTCACCCAAGGTTGAAATGAAGGAAAAAATTTTAAGGGCAGTCAGAGAGAAAGGTCAGGTTACCCACAAAGGGAAGCCCATCAGACTAACAGCAGATCTCTCTGCAGAAACCCTACAAGCCAGAAGAGAGTGGGGGCCAATATTCAACATTCTTAAAAGAATTTTCAACCCAGAATCTGATATCCAGCCAAACTAAGCTTCATAAGTGAAGGAGAAATAAACTCCTTTACAGACAAGCAAATGCTGAGAGATTTTGTCACCATCAGGCCTGCCTTACAAGAGCTCCTGAAGCAAGCACTAAATATGGAAAGCAAAAACCGGTTCCACCCACCGCAAAAGTATACTAAATTGTAAAGACCATCAACACTATGAAGAAACTGCATCAACTAATGGGCAAAATAACCAGCTAGCATCATAATGACAGGATCAAATTCACACATAACAATATTAACCTTAATATGTGAACGGGCTAAATGCCCCAATTAAAAGATACAGACTGGCAAATTGGATAGTCAAGACCCATCAGTGTGCTGTATTCAGGAGACCCGTCTCACATGTGAAGACACACACAGGCTCAAAATAAAGGGACAGAAGAATATTTACTAAGCAAAAGGAAAGCAAAAAAAAAAAAAAAAAAAGCAGGAGTTGCAATTCTAGTCTCTA